TAAACCCTATGTGCTTACTTGATCAGTGGTCACCCAATCCTGCAATTAGTGATAATGGGACACAACTACTCAGTTACTTTATAGGAGAGGATGGAGTGTTAACGTCTAAGGGAAGTACTACGTATACTAAAGCAAGTTCTTATACCCACAACTCCTACAGAATTTGCCCTGTGTATACCAAAGGCAAAAAACAACGAGTTCCCCTTCAAAACACGAAATATATTTTGGGATCAGAATTGCAGTGCGACGATGATTGCTTAACTAGGGACCGGACGAACGAATGTAACATAACGGGGCGCCAAATGGTGTGACTGCTTCACCGAATGTGTCTCAACGACCATATCAAGACATTTTTCATTTCTCACAACAAGACAATCTTCTTTACACTTTACCACCAAAGAATTTCGATGCTTCAACACGGATAAGATACTAACTTAAAATACATTTAGTTTGGCTGTGATCAGGACGTGACCCGCATAGTTCCGTAAACATCAGGGACCCCAGGAGAACCAGACATATGTATATATTATATTTGTGTGAATCTCAGCAGAACTGCAGTCACTATTGCAGAACGGTAAACTTACTCACAAAAATTAAAGTACCAAACACATACAGACGGACAGGACTGGCCTCTCGAATACTTGTTCAATCATAGTAATTTGATTACTGTGGTGCCATGTAATCTCATATTGATAAAACGCAGTCATAGTCATATCAGCGTATTCACACGACTTTCCGTACAGTTTTACATCCGGCTATTATTCAGTTGCAATTCTCCCTGTGTCGTGGCTAGGTGTGGTGTCATTTCGATTTCACGTGTTTTGGTGTTCATTCGGGGAACAACACCTCAGCGACTAACCTCCCTTTATATCTGACTATATTGCTTCTAACATAACTCACCCTACTGCTCGACCATATGCAAATGTTCAGTTCGAGGTCATTTAACTTAGTGGGATCAGCCACTCCACGTCTGGCTAGATTATCATAACCTGAAAACCTACCAGTTTGCCCAATGTAATTTACTCTGGTCATTACTGACTGGCTGGTTCCAACACAAACTCAGGCATAAGTGCATTCCTAGTTGCCATACTCCATAAATAGTAGATGCGTTTAAGCCAATGACAACAGTCTCGAGTCATATCACCAACCGTTGGTTCCTAGTATCCCGAGGACCTCACCCAGTCAGTCTACACCTACAACATGGCCAAACACAACCGTCAGAGACTTCATGGATGGATGGCAAGTCATGGTGGTATACATGTCCACTCCTACCTTAATCCTATATCGGCTAATACTGTCTGTCAGGGAGGGCAACGGCCCTACATTAGTAATATGTGTCCCACCCATTCCAATCGCCTCACCCTCACAACCCCATCGATTGACTTTAGTTGCTACATAACATTGAGTGGAATTTTTGCTAAAGTGGAACTTTTATTATAGTAATCAAGCCTTTTCTCTGTCACCTATGTTAATACCACACAAAATAACAATCCAACGCAGTCGCACTGAAATTTCCTCCTTATATTCCATTAATATCGAGGTTATAGATACCCTATTGAATTACTTCCAATACTACATATATTTTTCTTATGGGTTATAATGCATTCAGACGCATGAACGTTAACAAAGTACAACGACTCAACTCCCGCATCAAAGGTGCGATAACAGGACAGTATCGATGTCATGGCTTGTCCAGATTTTCGTGGGCTTCCCTCATAGCACCCACTACAAGTTATTCTAACATAAAACTCAGTAACATCACACTCCAGAAGTCGTACATATCTCATAGAAAAGGGTAAAATCATCTAAATACGGAAATGTATATTTAATCGTATAAAAATATAAGTTAAAAATCTTCCTCCACAGTAAACTGATGGGTGGATTCGCCTCTAGCTCGAGACATGACACCAGCACGCTGATATTCGCCAACTCGTTTCTCAAAGAAATTTGTCTTTCCTTCTATTGATATATTTTCCATAAAGTCGAATGGGTTGTCCGAATTGTATATCTAGACGTAATTATATAAGCACGATAGACTCACCTTTTCATAACCAAGTTCAACTAATAGTCGATCAGCGATGAACTCAATATATTGGCACATCAATTTGCAATTCATTCCTATCAGACTAACAGGTAGAGCTTCCGACAAGAAATTCTGTTCTATATCGACAGCTTCTTTCATAATCAACTCAATGCGCTTTTGGGGAGGCTTGTTCACTATGTGTTTAAACAGGAGACAAGCGAAGTCACAATGCAATCCCTCATCTCTGCTTATGAGTTCATTACTGAATGACAGTCCCGGCATCAGTCCTCGCTTCTTCAGCCAAAAGATAGCCGCAAAACTACCAGAGAAAAACACACCCTCAACCGCTGCAAAAGCGACTAGACGTTCTGCAAAAGTAGCCTTAGAATCACCGATCCAGTCTAGTGCCCACTGAGCCTTCTTAGCAACACAATCCAGGTTACTTATGGCATTGAAAAGGAAATCCCTTTCTTTTGAGTCCCTAATATATGTGTCGATCAATAAAGAGTACATTTCGGAGTGTATATTCTCAATAGCTATCTGCATACCATAGAAGCAACGGACTTCGGGAATCTGCACTTCTTGACTAAAACGTTCGAGTAGGTTCTCAAGAACGATTCCATCACTTGCAGCGAAAAATGCTAACACGTATGATATAAAATGACGTTCTCCAACTTTGAGGGAGTCCCAATCAGTTAAGTCCTTGGATAAATCTACTTCTTCCACAGTCCAGAAAGATGCTACAGCTTTCTTATAAAACTGCCAAACATCGTGATATTGTATTGGGAAGAGTACAAATCGGTGCGGATTAGGTTTGAGCAGGGGTTCTACTTCCAACTCGCTCTTTGTAACAGAGAACTGTTTGCCATAGGAGACTTCCTAGCAATACTGAAGTTACCAGAAATGCATTTAATTACCTTCTCAACTACATTTGGATCGTGATCTTTCTATGAGCAAAAGATTAAACACGAAAGAAAATACTTACTATGTAAGTAGACAACTGGTTCTCCTTATTTGATTCTAATGACATTTCGGCAGAATCTACACAGTACCAGTTCGAATTATGTCCGGTTGAAATTCAAAGGCAGCACTTTTTGTTTCCGCTGCAGATTTCGGAAGAAGATTTAAACAAGACAATGTTTCAATGCTATGGATCATTATATATTCTTACATGTTAAACTTTCAGGTGAGAACGTTTCATTTTAGAAGACTTCCGTCCTGATTAATTAGGCAGCTATTCAAATATAACTATAATGGAGAGTTCCTAACTATTGTTTACGTATGTGCATTCAGTATTGTCTTTTCTAGCTAGTCTACGGTAAAATAATTTCTTTGAGCTCGCTTCTTGGTCGCAAGGAATCGGTTTCTGCTCCATGTGCTACTTACTTCACTTATCGTTGGTAGACCCTGAGGGTTTGGGGCGTCGGTTATGATAGAGGGGTCGTTTTTGGTCTGAGTGAAGACCGATGCACCTAGTTAATGGTAGTTAATCGTTCAGCGTGTCCAAAAATAACAAATTTACAATGCAGTGTTCATGACAAATATGTGAGAATAAACATGCTGGTGATCAAAAACAAACAAATAGGCATAAATTTAATTGAGTAGAAGAACGAATCGGCACAGTTGACCAGAGACTGGAATTACAAAGACCGTGAAGGTGTCATGGTCATGAGTAGGTGATCGTATTTGAAGACTCATTCGCACGGTCAAACACCACAGTGAATACCACTGCCTAAATAGCTTTCCAGGGTTGGCGAACTTGGAGCAAGTGGAATTGGGATGGTATGTAAACTTCTGAGCTCCAGCGACAGATCCTTCATTAATTGCCATCTTGAAATCTGTAGTGACCAGTAGCAGAATCATTCTATTTTAATGACCATAGATAGACGTGCGTCTGTGGCACAATGGTAGAATGCTCGTCAGCCTCAGTTTTGTTGCGGGGTTCGATCTCTCGTTGACGCGCTCCTGTACTCCGCTTAGCTTGTTATAAGACTGGTAAAAATTGAACTTGTGTGCTTGATTCTACCAACCTCATTCCGCAAAAATAAGTACCGCTGCCCGGGAAACTTTGTAGCTCTACCTTGAGGCCCCATGTTCCGTTGAGAACGTAAGGGAAACAAAACAACGAAACCGACAGCACTTAATTTTGAACACACCCAGTCTTGGAGTTACAGGACTTTTACAAAAACTCAACAGTGATTTTTGATACATATCTTTACATTCCTTTGGAACCATGACATTATGCATGTCGAAATAGAGGTTGTCCCCCAAATAAAAAATGTTACTGTGTATATTCATGATGCATCCTATGAGTTAATTATTGTAGAGACGCATGAACCGGCTAAATTACCTCCGTAATTTACAATTGCATGTAGGCTTCCTGACGAGTTAATAACAAGTGGGGATTATTCGCATTTCGCAGTGACAGAGCGTGTTTCACTTTTCGAAGTTTAGGAAATTCTCTTAGAGTATGTTTTGTCTCTCAACATCTTGCCACCCATCTAAGATCCATGCAATTCAAATGGAATTGCAGGCTGCTGATAAGCATTAGGCATACAAAGGGCCCCAGAACATAAGTGACACTAGACGTTGAGCTGTACTGATAATACATGACTGAATTTTGTACGGAATTTTTCTCCACCAAATTAATCGGTGAACCAATGAAAAATGAGGACTGCCAGTACCATCCAATATTCTTTTGAGGATGTGTTAAGCGCCCTCACAATAGGGAAAAAAAGGATACAAGGGATAGGTCACTCAATAGACGTACCACTCAAGATATTCCTCAGCTGAAACTGTGTTATGATTCAAATCAGGAAGCTTTTCAACATGATTGTGAAAGTCTCTCGTATTTGCCTAATTAATCAGGACGGAAGTCTTCTAAAATGAAACGTTCTCACCTGAAAGTTTAACATGTAAGAATATATAATGATCCATAGCATTGAAACATTGTCTTGTTTAAATCTTCTTCCGAAATCTGCAGCGGAAACAAAAAGTGCTGCCTTTGAATTTCAACCGGACATAATTCGAACTGGTACTGCGTAGATTCTGCCGAAATGTCATTAGAATCAAATAAGGAGAACCAGTTGTCTACTTACATAGTAAGTATTTTCTTTCGTGTTTAATCTTTTGCTCATAGAAAGATCACGATCCAAATGTAGTTGAGAAGGTAATTAAATGCATTTCTGGTAACTTCAGTATTGCTAGGAAGTCTCCTATGGCAAACAGTTCTCTGTTACAAAGAGCGAGTTGGAAGTAGAACCCCTGCTCAAACCTAATCCGCACCGATTTGTACTCTTCCCAATACAATATCACGATGTTTGGCAGTTTTATAAGAAAGCTGTAGCATCTTTCTGGACTGTGGAAGAAGTAGATTTATCCAAGGACTTAACTGATTGGGACTCCCTCAAAGTTGGAGAACGTCATTTTATATCATACGTGTTAGCATTTTTCGCTGCAAGTGATGGAATCGTTCTTGAGAACCTACTCGAACGTTTTAGTCAAGAAGTGCAGATTCCCGAAGTCCGTTGCTTCTATGGTATGCAGATAGCTATTGAGAATATACACTCCGAAATGTACTCTTTATTGATCGACACATATATTAGGGACTCAAAAGAAAGGGATTTCCTTTTCAATGCCATAAGTAACCTGGATTGTGTTGCTAAGAAGGCTCAGTGGGCACTAGACTGGATCGGTGATTCTAAGGCTACTTTTGCAGAACGTCTAGTCGCTTTTGCAGCGGTTGAGGGTGTGTTTTTCTCTGGTAGTTTTGCGGCTATCTTTTGGCTGAAGAAGCGAGGACTGATGCCGGGACTGTCATTCAGTAATGAACTCATAAGCAGAGATGAGGGATTGCATTGTGACTTCGCTTGTCTCCTGTTTAAACACATAGTGAACAAGCCTCCCCAAAAGCGCATTGAGTTGATTATGAAGGAAGCTGTCGATATAGAACAGAATTTCTTGTCGGAAGCTCTACCTGTTAGTCTGATAGGAATGAATTGCAAATTGATGTGCCAATATATTGAGTTCATCGCTGATCGACTATTAGTTGAACTTGGTTATGAAAAGGTGAGTCTATCGTGCTTATATAATTACGTCTAGATATACAATTCGGACAACCCATTCGACTTTATGGAAAATATATCAATAGAAGGAAAGACAAATTTCTTTGAGAAACGAGTTGGCGAATATCAGCGTGCTGGTGTCATGTCTCGAGCTAGAGGCGAATCCACCCATCAGTTTACTGTGGAGGAAGATTTTTAACTTATATTTTTATACGATTAAATATACATTTCCGTATTTAGATGATTTTACCCTTTTCTATGAGATATGTACGACTTCTGGAGTGTGATGTTACTGAGTTTTATGTTAGAATAACTTGTAGTGGGTGCTATGAGGGAAGCCCACGAAAATCTGGACAAGCCATGACATCGATACTGTCCTGTTATCGCACCTTTGATGCGGGAGTTGAGTCGTTGTACTTTGTTAACGTTCATGCGTCTGAATGCATTATAACCCATAAGAAAAATATATGTAGTATTGGAAGTAATTCAATAGGGTATCTATAACCTCGATATTAATGGAATATAAGGAGGAAATTTCAGTGCGACTGCGTTGGATTGTTATTTTGTGTGGTATTAACATAGGTGACAGAGAAAAGGCTTGATTACTATAATAAAAGTTCCACTTTAGCAAAAATTCCACTCAATGTTATGTAGCAACTAAAGTCAATCGATGGGGTTGTGAGGGTGAGGCGATTGGAATGGGTGGGACACATATTACTAATGTAGGGCCGTTGCCCTCCCTGACAGACAGTATTAGCCGATATAGGATTAAGGTAGGAGTGGACATGTATGCCACCATGACTTGCCATCCATCCATGAAGTCTCTGACGGTTGTGTTTGGCCATGTTGTAGGTGTAGACTGACTGGGTGAGGTCCTCGGGATACTAGGAACCAACGGTTGGTGATATGACTCGAGACTGTTGTCATTGGCTTAAACGCATCTACTATTTATGGAGTATGGCAACTAGGAATGCACTTATGCCTGAGTTTGTGTTGGAACCAGCCAGTCAGTAATGACCAGAGTAAATTACATTGGGCAAACTGGTAGGTTTTCAGGTTATGATAATCTAGCCAGACGTGGAGTGGCTGATCCCACTAAGTTAAATGACCTCGAACTGAACATTTGCATATGGTCGAGCAGTAGGGTGAGTTATGTTAGAAGCAATATAGTCAGATATAAAGGGAGGTTAGTCGCTGAGGTGTTGTTCCCCGAATGAACACCAAAACACGTGAAATCGAAATGACACCACACCTAGCCACGGCACAGGGAGAATTGCAACTGAATAATAACAGGATGTAAAACTGTACAGAAATTCGTGTGAATACGCTGATATGACTATGACTGCGTTTTATCAATATGAGATTACATGGCACCACAGTAATCAAATTACTATGATTGAACAAGTATTCGAGAGGCCAGTCCTGCCCGTCTGTATGTGTTTGGTACTTTAATTTTTGTGAGTAAGTTTACCGTTCTGCAATAGTGACTGCAGTTTTGCTGAGATTCACACAAACATAATATATACATATGTCTGGTTCTCCCGAGGTCCCTGATGTTTACGGAACTATGCGGGTCACGTCCTGATCACAGCCAAACTAAATGTATTTTAAGTTAGTATCTTATCCGTGTTGAAGCATCGAAATTCTTTGGTGGTAAAGTGTAAAGAAGATTGTCTTGTTGTGAGAAATGAAAAATGTCTTGATATGGTTGGTGAGACACATTTGGTGAAGCAGTCACACCATTTGGCGCCCCGTTATGTTACATTCGTTCGTCCGGTCCCTAGTTAAGCAATCATCTTCGCACTGCGATTCTGATCCCAAAATATATTTCGTGTTTTGAAGGGGAACTCGTTGTTTTTTGCCTTTGGTATACACAGGGCAAATTCTGTAGGAGTTGTGGGTATAAGAACTTGCTTTAGTATACGTAGTACTTCCCTTAGACGTTAACACTCCATCCTCTCCTATAAAGTAACTGAGTAGTTGTGTCCCATTATCACTAATTGCAGGATTGGGTGACCACTGATCAAGTAAGCACATAGGGTTTAGTAAGGCTGTTCAAATGTTGAGTAAAAGAAAGACCTCTCGTTCTTTATAACAGTCAAGCCCAACCACCATTTCATTATTATGCCTAGTGTCTGTATCTTGTCCTTTGACAAGAAAAGGATGTTTTGCTTCTGCTTCTAGTTTCCGGGTACGCAGATCATCTTCGTGGTCCCTTTTTGTCTTTTTGGTGAATACATTGAAAAGTCTACCTGAGTGAGAACATTATTTAGTATGCGTCAGACGACTTAAATGATCCAGCACCAACATTTTACGAGAGTTTCAAAACCACACCTACTCACCAACCAAAGCGTGCATGGGTGCATATTATAATGTTCATAATACGATATAAATGTTGCGTAAGAATTCAGTTTATTTTTGAGAAACTTCTATATGCCTTATGATTTATTTATACTGACTTCTTGTTGTTTCGGGAGTGTTTAAGACCTTTAGCGGACTTCAGTACAGTCTATGCCATCAACCACTGCAGCTCTGCTGAAAGCAATAAGAAAGGTTACATTGGTTTATTTTGGGGGGAAACGTGATCCGTACCTAGACGGTAGTGTTGCCGGGACCTCTGAATTTTATTTCTCTTGGAAGTCCGGGCGTTCTTATGCCAGTTGAATGGGAATCTGGAGAGTCAGTAAACTGAAAAATGGAAGGGAGGGAAATAGGGTTGGATTTAAGACAGCGGGAGTGAAAGCACATATGATAGAAATAAAAGAAAAAGAATGAACAGTAGTGATATGGAGAGAAGCAACAATGGAATTTATAACAAAATATTGAAGTATGTCAAGGTGAGTGGGATAATTGCAGTAGCAGTACAGTCCAATAGAAGTGCTGTACTCCTCATATCTGTGATCGCCTAGCCTTCTTTTGAGGCTATTGATTGATGGGGTGGTAGCAACGTTTCTGGGCAGCGAGTTCCATAGGTAGAATGCGTTGTCCTATCTAACAGTTCGGGAAGGGGGCGACTTTGGATTCTTACGAAGTTTTGATGTCTTTCTCCTAAAATTTTTCCATTAAGCCGTCGCCCAACCTTTGAATACTTTGTTTGGGTTTGCGGAAAAGAAGTTAATGCTTAGGGAAATGGTGGCTTTCTGATGATCAACTCTTTTAGTCTAACCTTAAGAAATATCATAGTCCCCTTCTGGGAATATATCTGAACTCGGATGCATTGGGTTATGTACTATTTTGTATAGCGTGATGAGGTCACTCTTCGTCCTGCGGCATCTGGAGGTTTACAGTTACAGCTGTAAGGGACTGGTATTGCTGTTGTTAGGCTACACTTCACCAGCCCATACTTAGCTTAATTTATCTATGCACCAAGTAATTAAGTATTCTACGTAGCCTTGAGTTACTGAAGAAGAACGTGAATTAAAAAGACTTGGTCCTCAAGGAAATGTCCTCTAGTATATTTGGGTAACATAAAAGGCAATGATTATCTGAGGAAAAATATCTAGAACCTATCTAACAGATATGGCTTCATAACAACTTCAAGGAATATGCATACTGACAGCATGGCAGAAAAGAGGAAAAATGGCGTTGGAGCCAGTTCGTATATATATGCACATCAAAATAAAGTCTTTAAACACTCGAATTCTCACTGCGCAGTTGTCATCATCGGCCATCAGACTTTCGACACTTCAGCTCAGTGACAGTTTTGCGGGCCTCCTTCGTACTATTTCTAGGAGATTCTCAACTCTGTTTACAAGTGGTTGTGCAGCAAAGTTGTCAGCCGCTCGACCTGGACACACACATAAGTATCATTCAGCGGCATAAATGGCTAGGTAGTAAGCGCTCCTGGCCGCAAACGCACAGTGTAAATTGCCTAGAGAAGGAGCAACAAACATATGAAGTCGGAATGACACCACACCTAGCCACGACACAGGGAGAATTGCAACTGAATAATAACAGGATGTAAAACTGTACAGAAATTCGTGTGAATACGCTGATATGACTATGACTGCGTTTTATCAATATGAGATTACATGGCACCACAGTAATCAAATTACTATGATTGAACAAGTATTCGAGAGGCCAGTCCTGTCCGTCTGTATGTGTTTGGTACTTTAATTTTTGTGAGTAAGTTTACCGTTCTGCAATAGTGACTGCAGTTTTGCTGAGATTCACACAAACATAATATATACATATGTCTGGTTCTCCCGAGGTCCCTGATGTTTACGGAACTATGCGGGTCACGTCCTGATCACAGCCAAACTAAATGTATTTTAAGTTAGTATCTTATCCGTGTTGAAGCATCGAAATTCTTTGGTGGTAAAGTGTAAAGAAGATTGTCTTGTTGTGAGAAATGAAAAATGTCTTGATATGGTTGGTGAAACACATTTGGTGAAGCAGTCACACCATTTGGCGCCCCGTTATGTTACATTCGTTCGTCCGGTCCCTAGTTAAGCAATCATCTTCGCACTGCGATTCTGATCCCAAAATATATTTCGTGTTTTGAAGGGGAACTCGTTGTTTTTTGCCTTTGGTATACACAGGGCAAATTCTGTAGGAGTTGTGGGTATAAGAACTTGCTTTAGTATACGTAGTACTTCCCTTAGACGTTAACACTCCATCCTCTCCTATAAAGTAACTGAGTAGTTGTGTCCCATTATCACTAATTGCAGGATTGGGTGACCACTGATCAAGTAAGCACATAGGGTTTAGTAAGGCTGTTCAAATGTTGAGTAAAAGAAAGACCTCTCGTTCTTTATAACAGTCAAGCCCAACCACCATTTCATTATTATGCCTATTGTCTGTATCTTGTCCTTTGACAAGAAAAGGATGTTTTGCTTCTGCTTCTAGTTTCCGGGTACGCAGATCATCCTCGTGGTCCCTTTTTGTCTTTTTGGTGAATACATTGAAAAGTCTACCTGAGTGAGAACATTATTTAGTATGCGTCAGACGACTTAAATGATCCAGCACCAACATTTTACGAGAGTTTCAAAACCACACCTACTCACCAACCAAAGCGTGCATGGATGCATATTATAATGTTCATAATCCGATATAAATGTTGCGTAAGAATTCAGTTCATTTTTGAGAAACTTCTATATGCCTTATGATTTATTTATACTGACTTCTTGTTGTTTCAGGAGTGTTTAAGATCTTTGGTGGACTTCAGTACATTCTATGCCATCAACCACTGCAGCTCTGCTGAAAGCAATAAGAAAGGTTACATTAGTTTATTTTGGGG